ATATATATATATATATTTTTTTTTTTTATTATGTATGATTTCTATTTACCAATACATTCATATATACCAATAGTTTTCAATATACATTTATAAGCAGTTTTATAAAATGAAAAGATTATATTCTATGAAAATATCAGTTTTATTTCTTTAAAATATCAAAAGCTTAATAATACTTAATAAGTACATGATTCAATGTTTTTATCTTGAAATCTTCATTTTATTTCATACCCGTTGAACCAAATCCTTCTGCACCTCTAGTTGTATCATCTAAAGATTCTACCTCTTCTATCTTAGGATATATAATTTTTTCACATATTAATTGAGCTATACGATCACCAGGTGCGATTTCAAAATCCTCATTGCTATGATTGAACAGTACTACACCAACATTACCACTGTTGCAAGACAAAAAATGAAAATAGTATAGTATATAATATATATTGGTATTCTGATATCTAAAATATCTATGGAAACCATACATACCGATAATCTGCATCTATTACACCTGCACCTACATCTAGATGACTTTTCCATGCTAAACCAGATCGTGGTGCAATTCTGCCATATGTACCAAAAGGAACTTCTATTTGTAGATCAGTCTTAATTAACTCCTTGCCATGAGCTGGTATGATATATTTGTATGCACTGTATCATACAGGAGAAACAAAATACTTAAAAATCTACACGATCTTCTTCATCGAGCTTTAATAATTATAAACTCTTAGATATTTCTATCAATGCACAATAATTTTAATCTTGATTTAATCTATTCCTTACTTTGATTTAATTCACTCTTTGTCTAAAAGTTAAGTTTTATATCAATAAAAAGATATTAGATTGATATACATTGCTATATATCAAACATGTCAATTATTGTCACAACAAAGATTGAATCGTAGCTTTACTTTTTTCAGAATTATCAGGTTATATGCTACATATTAAAGTTTCAGACAACATAATCGAGATACAAGACATCTTAGATACTTTAGAGATGTCACAGGTATCTTTAGCAAAGATTCTTAATTTTAAATATATTGTCTTATGTTATTTATATGTAATATTTCAAATATCTCTAATTAATCAACAATTTACAAAACGTTACCTATCACATGTCAACCGCTAGAGGAATCAGAATAGGAAAAATTAGTATTGGGAATGATGTACCTTCGTAGATCATATCCTGCCGCATATTCCGAGCCCTTTACCGGCGCAAACGCCTTGTCCGAGAGCTTGGCAAACTTCAGCACAGTTCCTGACATGATATTAAGTTATTTTCACGAATTGATCGTAGATTAACGTTCACGTAGGCGAGAACCTCAATGCCACGCTTACCCGCGTTCATCTACCGGTTTACCGCCAAAAAAAGTGGCGGCAAACAGCTGCATACGTAAACTATCTTATCGTCACATATTTTGACGAATTGGACCGAGAGACGCTCGCACAACTAATTTAACTCGTAAAGATAAGAAAAATACGTGACATATTTTAGCAATCGTGATTGCACTGAGTATCTGGGACAACATGATAATGAATGAATGAAATCAATATCGCAGTCGTTGTTTGTGCCGCGAAATTTAAACGTATAGATTGCTCGTTTTGCTATAATGTGACACTAGAGGTCTTTTTTTTATAGCTAATGTATATTTATTATACAATTATATATTTGTACAGTACTGTATATATTTGTACTGTATACAGTTGTACATTTATTTGTACTTAAAATGAAATAGATTTATTATTCGAAGTTTGCGAAAGTTGATGAAAGTGAGAAAGAAAATTTTGCGATTCTACGTAACGATAAAACAACTGACTCAAGAAGCGAAAATAGAATGCGATTCTTGACAGTCGGTGTTTCCAGTCATCTCGTCATTCGTCTCTCCAACGATACTTTTTACGATAAATTTATTTTTATCCGCGATACGAAAGTAATTTCTCGTGCCTTTGAGATGGAATAGGAAAAAACAGATCCGACACTGTTCGAAATATAGAACGCAATAGACGATAATATCTGTACGTGTCTATATGGAGACACGTACTCAAAGAGAACAATATCAGCTGCAAAACTGCGCATTATTATATCGCGTAGAGTGCTCGTTGATATCGGGGACTGACCTCTCACGCCATATAAAATGCGGCATGCATAGCTCGTCATCTGTGGCGATGTTATGTAGAACGGCATGAAAGTAAGAAACGCACATACACGCTCTGATGCATTTGATATTCGGAGAAAAACTGCATTTTCTCTCTCCCTCCCCTCCCTCCCGCAAAACACGTGTATCGCTCGACCGGCCGCGCAGTGCGCATGCGCGTAACCACGTGAGATCAATAACCGCGTGCGCGCGCGCATGCATGCGAACACGTGTTAATTAACACGCGTGCGATCCTGCACGATTGCCGATTACTGTTCGGCAATGTGGACGACGGAGTGCCGATAGCGATCGACAAACATATAGTTCTCGCCGGAGAAATCTCTAGCATTTGCATGATCGTGAAAACGATCGATAACATTCGTTCGTGGCGACAAAACTGTGCCGGAAACTAAACGACGACGGTTCATATCCCGTATTCCCGATTTAAATCTCAATCAACCTGCGAATGATATCGAATCGGCGACTCGAACGAATTTTAAAAACAGAATTAGGCTTTATGAGAAGTGAAATTTTATATTCTCTGTCTTATCTTATGTATATTATAAATTAATATTAAGTATACGAGAAACTTCTTGAGAATTAAGAAGATTGCGAGATATAGCTTTTTCTAAAAATATAGAATTCTATTTAAAAACTACCTTCATACAGCACCATTTATTGTAAAAATGTTGCAAGAAATATTTCTGAAATTTTTTACACGCAATAAATTTCTGAATGTTATTATATTATAAAAATGTAAAATGTAAAAATGTAAAATGATGCAACAATACATGGTTGATAATATCTTATGTCATCGACTTATGGTCTATTAGGTTTAAGATAATTTTGATCGATTTATTTAATCAACAATTAATTTATCAAGTATTATTTACGGCATTTTAATTAATATTATTATAAATAAATAATTATTATTATTAATAAATAAAATTAATTTTTATTTGAAATATGGAAAAAAAATAAGAGATTTTGATCGATAGATTAAAAATAAATTTCACTGTGAGCGGTTCTTATTGAATTAATCGGCGATCAAGCTAATCGCAAAATCTAATCAAAATTAACCTTAACACCGTCTTAATTTCTTTTTAAACAAAGTGTTCTCGTTCTCGCGCCCCTGAATTACCTTATTTTTAGAACGATTGAGTGCTCCCTCGTCTTGTCTTTTTATCGAAATATTTACAGTCGATATGTTACTGCCCACGATATCGGTAAATGGATTATGCGCGTATATCCTGCCGTGCGCGCTGTTAATCAAGCCGTCCATATTGTGCGTTAATTACACTTGATACGTGCTCCATTTTTGTTGTGTGTAGCGGTTACGATCCTTTTTGCCGCGTGATGCAACGTTGCGTCACTCGTTGCGGCTGTTACCGCAAGATACGAGCGTCAATGTCTAATGTCACGAGGTTGAAAGCCGATTTTTTTTACGGGGAAATGGCAGAACTATAATAAAGTTCGAAAATAACTTAAACGTACAAAGAATCATACGCTTCGGCATTGTCGACAAGGTCCGCTTGTTCTGTCATACGGAAGTCGCCGAGTGTGCACCTGACTGATTATCGCAAAAGAGCCTCAGTCGGGTCGGTGGAGACCCTCGAACTTAACTTTATGTCTTTAATAAACCGCGACGTGATGCGATAAGAAAATATGTTTATCGGCTTCCAGAACTTGCTACGCTCGGCTTTATTTGCTGCAATGCTAAAAGGTCGAGTTGATCAAATGAGATCGGTTCGCATATTAGTCTTTTCAAATTTAAACTTATACTAATAGTATTTTCGATTGCAGTGGGTTTTGATTCAGATTATGTCGTCATAATGTATTTCTTATATCTAAAACGAGATGAATATGAGATGCGAGCGAAAAAAAACAAAAAAAGCAAATGCAAAGCGAATGCAATATAATAGTATTAATCCGGATCGAAACATTGCAATCGAAAATGCTAAGAGTAAAGAGATTGAAAGTTCCTAAAGCAGTGTCAAAATTAATAGTTTTGAGCTTAAAATTGACGTGCAGATATTCACGTCTAATTTCTTAATCTTCACTATATTTTCAGCTATACTTTTTCGTATGCAACGATCAGTGAGATTAGTCCATAAACATTGAAAATGATGTTTGACTTATATCTGATATCGATCATTATTTAAACTTTAAAAGCAAATAATTACTTTATATTACTAATGTAAGAGATAAAGAAACTAATCAAAAGTAGTCGATCGGGATTCGAACCTTTTATTCGACACTTTATTCAGTAAACATTAATTAACAGTAATATAATATCAATGTTAGAATTTTCCACTCAACAATGTAACTGTTACATAACACACTGTGTTATGTTGCATTTTTATTGTTGAATGGAAAATTATAACATTAACATTGTATTGTTATTTGATATTATTTGATATTGTTATTTAATATTGTATTGTTAGTTAATGTTCATTGGGTATTCAACAATATTTTCAATCACTATTCTTGATTTTTTAATATTTAATTGATTTCTTACAATTCTGTATTTTCTACATTAATATTCATTAGATTTTAATTAAAAATAATATGATATATGTATATTATCTCTCTATATTCTCTCGCAATGCAAAAGTTTTAGATGGCAGCACAAGTCACGATGGCCAACGAAGGCCCCAATGATATATTTTTTAGCATCTGATCTGTAATTGTCTCGTTTATTTTAAGATCTTGATTTTAGTGTAGTTTTAATATATTTAAGTTTTGATATATTTAAGAAAAAAATCATATCTCAAGATTATCTTCTGAATTGTCTTCTCTACTAATCTTGTTTTCTCATGAATTCTAAATCCGTGAATTGTTTGTAAGCTTTTCAATATGTCAAGTAAACGTGGGAAAAGCTGTCAGTGGGTTTATTGCTTAGATGATTAATATTTATATAATATATCTAAATAAATAATTGTGACATGTATGATTGCGTTGAGATAATAAAAATGCAGTAAACATAATTGAGTGCTCCATATTATATTCTTATGTGTTAATAATTAAGGTTAGTGTATTCAAATAAACTTTTCTAAAGTTTATTTAATTAGCTAAGTTAATGGTACTGGAACTTTATTTTTAGTATAAATGATTTGTGTGATTTTTTTATTATAAGTATATTGCTTTTTAATGTGTAAAATTTTGTTTAAATATATTATCTTATATATAACGCATGATGAATTTTTAGCTTATATTAAATTTTGTTTTAAAAATGTTCTTTCTTTCTCTTCAGTTTATCGCTTTTATTTTGTCAAACTATATAGTTTTTTCTTTCAATCTAGTATCTATTTTATTTAAGTATAAATTTAAGTATAAATATATATAGTTTATATAGGATTTATATATTTGATTGCTTTAATTTATTGATTTGATAATAGCTAAACTTCTAATTCTTTTTTTATTTTAAGTATGCATGGTTTTGTTTAGTTTTGTCAGAGTTAACATGTCCAATTCAGAGGCTGGCGTGGGATGCATTAGTGAAGTAACACTTGCAATTAGTAAAGCAAGAAGTTCTCAGACAAACACTGTGAGAGTCCTTGATAGTCCTGACTCAGATGGATCTGGTCACTCAAACTCATTTACTGTACAACGATTTAATTACACCAATGATAACAATACTAATTCAGATATTCTTCAGTCACCTCTCACTAGCGATGACTTAAGAATACCCATTGTCGGTTATGAGATTATGGAGGAAAGAGCTAGATTTACAGTTAGTTAATTATGTATCAACAATTTTCTATATCATATTAAATTTTATTATATATATATTCAATTTCTCATTATTATAATATAAATGTTAATATTGTACATGCAACAATGTTCTATTAATTTTTAATAATAGTTTTACAATGATGAATAATTAATATATGCAGTATTATGTAAACTTAAAATACAAATGAAAGATCTGTCTCTTTTATATACTATATTTCGAAGTATTTTAAAGATAGATTTTTTTTCTTTGTCTGTGGTACACAGGTCTACAAACTTCGCGTTGAACTGAAAAATGGTGATTGCTGGTTTGTGTTTCGAAGATACACAGACTTTGTTCGACTACTAGCACAATTAAAAAGGCAAAAAGTTCCTATCGCCCATTTGACTTTACCAAGGAAAAAATGGCTCGGTGATAATTTTGCCCCAAGTTTTTTAGAAGAAAGAATATGTGGACTTCAAACATTTGTTAATGGCATTTTAACCAATCCAGTTCTCATAGGTGTTTCATGTGTAAGAGAATTCTTTTGCTTGGACGAACCTCCTGTTTTATCTGACACGGCAGAAGAATCTAGAGTAAATATAATATAAATGTTTATAAATTATAATGCAATTGCCATGTGTTATTTTGATTAATGAAATATTTAATCCTTTTTAGGCAATATTTGAAGCATTGGAAGATACAATTTATAATTTGAGACAACAATTAAGAGAGCGTGATATAGCACTTGCATCTGAAAAGAGTCGATGCAATGAATTCCGGAAGAAGCTTCATCAGATATTAAGGTAAACAGTAAAATATAATTTCTAAATATTTTTTTTAAATATATTTTAAATGTTTCAGTGAAAGACAAACCTGTTCAAAATGTGGTGCAACCCAATAGTAATTTTATAAACTGGGTCATAATATTAGATGTGATATAAAGTTGTTAGATCTGTTTTTATAAACTGAGTCATGATGTTATTAGATCTTAATTTGTATAAAGATTAAGTCAATGTAAAAATATGGTAAATAGTATAGAAAGAAAGCTTATTATACAAATGGAATATTTTTGGAAATAATATTTTATACACAAGATATTAATTACATCAGTAAAACTTATTATCAAGTTATATATACATATAAAATTTGTAAATTTTTAGATTTGACTGTATTTAAAATGTTATTTATTTAAATGAATTGCAAATAATATTTTATCTAGAAGTCTTATATTATCTGATATAGTATATATGTATAAATTTATATTTACAATTTATTTATTAAATGTTTTTTTTATATCGAAGATATAAGATTGGTTAAATGAGTGTATCATTCTCAGTTTTCAAAGAAAAGATTTATGAATCTCAGATATATTTTTTAATTTATTTTTTGTAAAATTTATATGATTAAATGAAGTATTTAACAGACTGAATATCAGAATATCATAATGATTTTTTGCAATTTGCAATTTTGCAATTTTCCATTGAAAGTCAAAACTTTTGGTTCACTTGATTATGCAACCAACGTTCAGTTGATTGCATAAAAAAACTGAAGAGAATACAAAGAAATTTTTGATATATAATATCTTTAATATTTTACATGAAATTATATATTTTGTAAAATTTATATATATAAATCTTATTGTATTTTATAAAATTATTATTACTATATGAAAAGTTTTAATAATAATTTTATTGTACATTATTATTATTTTTCTTGAAAAAATATTGTAGAAAAGACATAAGCAGGATCGATTCAGATTTTATATTTTCAGAATACTATTTCAGATAAGAAAATATTGTTAGATTATATATATAACAAATATCTTACATTGTACATTCAAAACGGAGTATATATATTACAATATTGATATATTATTTTGTTGTCTCGATATTTATCATTTCTAAAATGTCAGTAAAATAATTTAATGATAAAATATTTCAATATCACACAAATATACAAATGTGTTATTTTTTTAATCATTTACATTTTGCATATTGCATTATTCTTATACACCAATATTTTCTATATAAAATATTTTAATCATACTGTTAAACTATAAAAATCTATACAGAAATTCTTTGCGTTATATGTATAAGGCACATTGTCAATTCTCTTCATGCTTAATACAATTTTTCATTCATCTTAGCAATAAAAAAGATGTAATATAAAATAATGTTCTTCCATGAATTACGAAATGCACGTAACGTGAAGAATGAATGCGTTATATGAGCAAATATTATGTGTTCATATATATATATATATACACAATAATAATGGATTAAAAAAATTTTTGGTCAGTCTTCTTTATCTGGAGCGACAATTAAACAAAACGCCTGTATGAAGTACGTCAGTTTAGCTGAAAAAAGAATACATAAATTGAATTGATTGAATCTTGTTATGTACAGATAAAGTAAATTACGTTTTATAATATCATTGACACATATGTAAAAAGTTTCAATATATTTTTGCACCTAGTTATACTCACCTGATAAACTGTTTCTTATCTTCTTATACACAAATATGTGATATACGACAATACCGAACAGAATAAATGCGAGTGCAAAAAGATATTTTAACGATGGTTCGTAAACTATCGGAAGCACCGCAAGAAAGATGGAGACAGCCAATACTATCCAAGGTATCACGATAGGTACGGTATACGGTCTCGGAGCGTCAGCTTTAGTCCGTCGCATAATTATGAGTGACACCATCGCCAATCCATAGAATACCCACATAAGGAAACTAGCGAACTCGATCAGTGCAGTTATGTCACCTAGCAATAGGCACGCTAGTGAGAGTATACCCTGAAAAACTACTGCTGCGGCCGGTGTCATCTTCTCGATATGCACATAGCTGAAGACTCGCGGTACGTGACCCTCTCTGCCGGCGACGAAGCATAGCCTAGACACGCTGAATTGTATGCTAAGAGCACATCCGAAGGTTGACAACGCTACACCGAGCGGTATCGCGAAACCCATCCAAGGCGGCAAGACTCGGTCCGCCCAAAGAACCGCCACTGCCGGTGCGCTCTTCATTTCTGGTATTGTTAGCGCTGCCATATACATCAGATTCATGGATACGTACAGAACGGTGATGGTGGGTACAGCAATGAGGGTGCTCCGAAAAATATTGACTTCAGGTTTCTTGATTTCTTCGGTGACGATCGCGGCCGAGGTCCATCCGTCGTATGCCCAGAGACCACTGTAGAAGGCCAGGGCGATGTTACCAGCTGACGTGGTAGTGCCGCGAAAAGGATCACGGAGGAGTTCCACGTGGCCTGAACCCAGCCACCATATTCCACCGCCGATCACTACCATACAAGCGATCACTTTGCACACGGTGAACACGTTCTGCACTTTTACATAGAGTTTGACGCTGATGAGATTGATATATGTTATCACACCCAATGCCATGACCGCTATGAGCTTCTTCAGTATTGCCATGGAATCGACGGATATGTTACAGAAGAATCCGGAAAACGGCTGCACGCTATATTCCGCGAAAGTCAACATGATCACCGCCACCTCCGCCGGTCGCAGCAACATCACGTAGACCCAGGAACAGATGAACGCCGGTATCTGACCGGCGTAAGGATGTAATGGCCCGAAGGCCTCCATGAAGTATGCATATTCGGCGCCGGAACGTGGTACCACGGTACTCAACTCGGCGAAGGCTAACGCGCCTAACAAGGACAGCACTCCACAGCTAATCCAAACGATCAAGCAAAATCCCACAGATCCTGATCGCTCAAGGGCGCTGGTTGGTGAAACAAAAATGCCGGAACCTGGACAATAGACATAACAAGATTATAGTTAATTTAGTAGTATTCGGCGAAGTCAGAACGGTAGTTCACTAATTCTCACTAATGACGTGGATGACCGATTAATCTCGATTAACCTTTCCGATGTGTTTTAGTCGTATATAAATATTATGTTGATAGACAAAATATTTGTTGGCCATTATTGTCGGATCATTGATCCGTTGATCATTGACAGAGTATTTAAATTATTTGCAAGCTGCGTGACGAAGTTTTTTATTGCATATTAATAAAGCGCTAAAAATTTTTATCGCAAGTTTGACATTGGAACAATTGGGCTAAGTGATTCGATAAACATGATATTATTTAATTGCGCTTTAGTTGCAACGCCGTTATGTAGGATAATATAATTTGATTTTGTAGATACAATATCAGTAATTAATTCTTGTCTCTTGAACTATGAATTCTGTGATGATTTACGAGTTGATAAATGATAAGGTTTAGAAATATAAGAGATAATACGCTTAAAAAATTTAAAGGTTTTATTAAGCTTTCGAGAAATTATATCACGTGAAAATGAATATTTTAATCTAAAAAATATTTAATTGATTTGTATTTATTGCTTGTGAGTTTTTTATGCATAATTGTTGATTTATATATGCCTAAATAATTCTTTATTTTATAATATAACTTATAATGGTTTAAAAGAATATTATTATTTATCAATAGTTAGTAATTTTTTATTATGATTTATTATTTTATTATTATTATTTGTTAATATTATTAATATTATTAATATTATTGTTAATATTATTAAGTTATTATTTTTTAAAAGAATGTTATTTCATATTTTTGATTTTCTTAACACCCGGTATTAAGACTGTGTGAAAAAGCATCCCGGACATCGTCAATCAACTGTTAAAATACAAGCGCTTCAGTGTATAAAGCGGTATCTTATTTGGGGCTATACAATTATATAATTACTGTTAACTACTCTTAAATAGTCTTGCACTAGAAGCTACCACCACTGTTCCGAGAATGTCATAATTTATGATCGTTATTTATTATGCCGCGTTTTAACGACACATTGATAAATGGTTTTGCGATTATTCATTATCTATAAGTATATGTAACGTTTATGATATACATACACGCGGTACATTTCGCTGTTTTATGACTGCAAATGATGGTCAAAATAAAAACATAACAAAAACATTTTATTGACCGGAGGTTGGAAAAAAGTCGGCCAATGACTCTCTTTGTTTTTTAAAATATTCTGCTGTGCGTGATTTAAATTTGGAACTTATAACCGCGATACAAAAAAGAATTAAATCGAATTGATATTTAAAATCTGCGGAATATTGAATTCTTTCTTTATCTTCAAAATTGGAAAATTATTGTAGATCTCGCTCTATCATTTGTTTTCTCTGTTCTATTTTATTATTTAATATTCTTAATATTAAATGATAAAATAGAGCAGAGAATTTTTTTCATAGAGTGATTAGGTAAACAATCTTCTCTCAATCTTTCTCCTATAGAATGAACTAATTTTGTTAAAACAATAAGTTAAGAAAGAAAACAAAATAATTAAACAGAATGATTAAATAGAATATTTTCGAAATTTCTCGTTTATGGCGCGATTTCTTTATACCGAGGAACATCTGTACAAAGAATTTTATAATAATGCATATTTATGGGATTATTTTTATCTCTTAATTTGCTCTTTACACAGATGTTTCTCAGTTCAATGGTAAACCTTTATATTAATTCTTTTTTACATTTCTTTTCCTTATTGTTTCATTCCTTTTCCTTATTGTTGAACGAATGCGTATACATATGTTAACATATTTTGGAATTTGATTTTGAAATTAGATTGTTTATTATATCGTTAAATAATGCCAAATGAAAATAATTTTCGTGACTTGCAACAAGAGCGCGCATTGTGCCGAATCTTTTTTTAGCACGCTGCAGTGGTAAATAATCATGCATGGATTTAAACGAGATCGTCTTCTTTGTGCTGCATTACGATTTATCGCTCGTGCATGATTACGAATGTGAGTGTCAGAGATCGGGAATCCACAAATAAAAATAACAAGAATGAATCTTCCGTCTTTATCCATCTATACGTGTTGCAATTCGTGTTACAGTTTCTACAATCTACGATCAAACGGACTCACGAAATATCACGTCCTTTTTGCATGGAGCGTTACACACGAGGGAATAAAATGAGTACGCGCGCACGCGCGATGTATAATTTATAATTTAAATAATTTATAAATTAAATCCAAACGTATAACAGAAATGCAAACTGAATTCCGATGGAGAACGGAAGTCACGCGGACTCACGCACGACAATTGCATTTACGATTCGTGTATTCACAAAAAGTTTCTAAGATTTTAGGTCAACAATAACGTCTTACCGATCATCACCGCCAGGATGATGCTGACGGCGCTGAAGAGTCCCAGCTCTCTCTTCAGCTCGATTTTTCCGGCCGGCTGTTTTTCCTTTTCTTGTGCCATTTTTTCTTTATGCCGAGAACGGGGACGAGGAACGAGAGCGCGGAACACGTTGTACCGATTCGCCGACACTGTCAACAGTGATTCAAAATTCAATGACACATGCTTGGACTGCCACTCTCTGTTTGGCGGTGGTGGCGGAGGCGGCGGTGGTGGTCTTTATCTTCTCCTCTGGACGGCAACCGCAAACTTGCCGTCGACGCTCCACGCTCGATTGTAGCGGGCTCGACCATGTGACTGAAGCTATTGGAAGGGTTTATCGCGGACAGAGCTTCAAATCAGAACTACTAATGTACCAGCTCGTTTACTCCTTTTCTGACGAGCGCACTCGTGCAGATAAGGAGACATTTGGTCTCGTCACAGACACACAGATTCTCCATCTTTCTTGATTATCGGTCAATAGAGAAGATAAATGAAGAAATCGACATTACGGCAATTTCAATATTGAATTATGAGGACTGTCTGGCACCGACGGAATTATCGCTCATATGAATAAATAGGCTACGTTAACCGGTTTATTTGTTCGAATTCTTTCGACGGCTTTGTTACGCTTGGATAAATCGACAAACATCTAATCATAAACTAAGTCGTCAGGTCGTTCGATCAAGCGTCTATCGGTGTACCATTGCAACCATGCGATAAATAGATAAGATAGCAATTTTGTCTTTCTGGTATTTTGGTATCGCAAAATAGAATCTCTGTAATTGTGCCACTCCATGACGTGGTAATTGCCTCTTTTGGCAATTGGTCTTGACGCAATTGATTGTGAAGGTTACACAGGCAATGACTCAAGCAGTTTACTTGAAAGTACAATAGATAAAGCAAATATGCAATATACAATTTTTTATATAATATAACAATCAAAAGTCGCGATCAAATATACAAATATATAATGTTGTAAGAAAGAGTTCTGTAGAGAGGGTATCTGTTAACGGATGTATCTGCTAAAGAATTGATTAAGTTTTTAAGAAAATAAATTGGTTCCTTATCTTTCCTATTTACGTGAAAGAACTCTGTTTGTCGATTTACGAACGTGCAAACATGCGGACAGTACTCTGTGCACCTAAATATCTGCCTAACGCAGCATTTCAAAATAACATATCTTTCTGTTGATTCAAGCAAAATGACAAATCATTAAGTAGTCGAATATTATTGATCAGATTATTATGATTAAAGACATTTAAACAATTCAAGCAATTTTATATTAAAAACATAGTGTTACTGTACGTGTAAGTAAGTATTCAGTATTATGAACTTGAAAGGAATCATGTTCATAACGTTCATAAAAATGATTGATTTAAAATTATTATGTATATTTGAAAAAAAGTACATTTTTATATAAAACAATAATTTAATTGGAAATTGTTGGTAACCATTGTATAGAACCGAATTATACAGAAAAAATGAGGATAATCTGAGATAATAGAGATTACTTTATATTATTAATTTAAGCTACTATTACATTTTAAGTGAATAATCGTTTTATCTCATGACGTTAGGACTGTTACGTCTTATAGTGTAGAGCTATATCTTATCTTATAACATATTTATTTACTCATATTACGCAATATAGTAGAGATATTAATGTGATGAATTTTATGTTTTCAATTGAATTTGAAAACGTTATTTTTTTTCTTAACGAAATTCTTTTTCTTAACGAAATAATTTTAATTAATAAAATATTTTAGATTCAATATAATAATTTAAATATAATCAAGTGAATTTTGATATAGGAGATATTAATATTGATGATATTGACGAGCTAATTCATTTGTGCCACATATTTGATAATAATCATTTAATCTTGATAATTTTTGCATTTTGGATTTTACAAGAGAAAAAAAATTCCTTATATTAATTTAATTATATTGTTCTTTGTATTATTCATTTTACACAGTGCTGATCATAAACCGAATAAATTAAAGCGAAAAATAATTATCTATAAGATTTTAATGCCAATTAGATTGAGATTAATTAATATAATAAAAATGTATTAATTTAATTAATAATCATTTTTTTGTTGCAATTTTATTAAAATGTGATTTTGGAAGTTTGTAGATAATTATAAAATTGCAAAATGTTTGTATTTAAATTTGTATTTTGACTAATAATAATTTCTAATAGCCAATGTCTAAGTAGAACGTAGAAATCAAAAGTTTCTCATTGGCTGATCCAAGAAATGCATTGCGTTCTGTTCTATATTGTTCCACCGGACTACATTAAAATTTTTTCTCGATTTCACTTAAGCTCAAACATCTGTTCTATTTTAAATGTAGTGTAAACCAGTTCAGCTATAAAAAATAGATATATGATCATTATACGATTTTTGTTCTTTATATTATCTGGTATATTATCGTGATGTTTCTCTCAATTTCAGAATTGAATTCAGAAATATTAGATGTATCATTTTATCCTTGTTGTTTAGCAAGTATTAAATAAAAATAAAATGATAGTGAGTGTACTCGGATATTTCTGAACTCCAGTTCGATTGGGCAACTTAAGTTAGGTTAAGTTATCATCGGCGCATGCAACGTGTGTTTGAATATGCCAAAGACTTGTAGATTTATGCAACAACGTGTCTATCTTTATTTATTATAAATTTGTCGAATAAATTAAAAAAATGAATAACGAAGAAGGAGGATGTTCGAATGAAGAAGAGAACGAATTCTACTTCGAATCCGATCATTTAGCATTAAAGGGTAATAAAGATTACAGTGCTTTCCTCAAAACAATAGTTATTCTCGAGGCTCAAAGGATTCAAGCCATAAAAGATCTGGATAAGCTTATGTCCGTGCAAGACAAGGCATTGAAAGATCCGATATCGTTCGTGGCACAGTTGCAGAACGGTGACCTTCCAGAGCTACCTGGTCCACAGAAGATCCCAGAAATTCCATACGTTGATTGGTCAAAATATAATATAGCTTTGCCAGATGCACGCATGAGACCACAAACTCGACATGGGCACATATTGCCTCAAGTGCAATTAAAAAATGAATCAGATAATGGGAAGGTATGTAACTTCTATTAGGAAAAAGCTTCTGTATTTAATAGTGTCATGTTTCATGTTTAGATTTTAGTCAGAGGTCGTGCTTTCGATGAAACTAAGCCTGAGACCTTCAATCAATTATGGACAGTAGAGGAGCAAAGGCGACTTGAAGAACTTCTTATTGAATATCCACCTGAAGAAGTAGAAATGAGACGTTGGACAAAGATAGCAAATGCATTAGGTATGTTAATAACATATGTTGTCTTGTAAACAAGATATCATAATTGCTTGTTTTTGCAGGAAATCGAACGCCTAAACAAGTATGCAGTAGAGTTCAGAAGTACTTTATCAAACTTTTAAAAGCAGGTTTGCCTATTCCAGGCAGAGGACCTAAGGTAAAATTGGATGTCAGGAGAAATTTAACTCATAAGCAACGTCACAATCATTTGTTATTCAAACGTTCGACCTTTTTCCCACATCAAGATATTCCTTTTAATTCTGATGAAAGTAAAGAACAGCCTGTAGCAGAGGAGTCTGTAAGCATTATGCATTATGTTATATAAAATGTTAAATAAATATTTATTAAAACTTTTTTTATTAACATTGTTTTTCAGGAGGATGATATAAATGGAGGAGGTGACGATAATTCCGAATTAAGGCAGATAAATTTATTGCGTCAAGTAAAGGCTGAAAAGGAACAAGACCCTTCTTCTGCATACAAACATGTGGGATATAAAGTATGTATCACTTTTTTTATAACTATTTTGTACGTACGAAACTATTACTAATTAATGAAATATTTTTTCTATAGTGTACAGTGTGTGATGAAGAACCTTTAAAAGGTACCAGATGGCATTGTACAGAATGCCACAGAGGAGTTGATCTATGTGGTGATTGTGCGGTAGCGCAATTGGAAACAGAAAATCCCACACATGATCCATCTCACAAATTAATTCCCATCAAACCACCGCCATGTGCCAGAAAGTATGACTTAGATTATTTCCCACAAAATTTTAGTAACTCTTCCTACAATTATCTTGATCCAAACTTTTTACCCGAATAGTTCAAATAAATAAATTTCTTTCAAGATACAAACGTACAAATACACGAAATATAAATAAAAAATAATTTATTAAAAATAATGTTCATATAGCGATAGTCTCTGAATTAACAGTTGCATATTTTAAACGAATTTTTGTCTGAAGTTGATTAAATGTTCCATTTTTTATATTATCGCGGATAGTACTGAAGAATTGAAGATAATGATGAGTATTATGTCTGGAATCACAATTAATTATTAATCAACATCTAAACATGTACACACAAGTCATTTAAATCATAATTTATAAATACGTACATCATTAAAAGTATTAAGCAAAGCATTTCCTTTGTATGATGCAAATGATGGATATATGCTCTTGTATGATTTTCGCATGTAAGACATTTGCAATTTTTACATATAGGAGAAAAATCATCTTTATACCTGGAAAAAGTAAATCCATGTGAAAACAAACAGCATTTATACATTTATACATTTTTATATTATATACTTATTAGAAACATGAATGTTTTATTTCCCATTACCTTTTTTCTGCTATTGACATTATGTGTTGATTATTCTCACAGGCATCGTGGTCGCACATGAAAGTCAAAGCCTGTGACTGTTCAGTAATTACACAAGGATAAGATGAATCAAATATATCCACTCCTAATTCGATGAGATCCAATATAGTAACTGGGTTCCAACAACCCAATGAAACTCTTATTTTATCAGTAGGCAGTAAGTTCTATAAAATATAGCATAATCATTAAAGTATTTTAAATTGTCTAAATTATATGAATTTTTAAACTTAGAAACTGATATTTACGATAGTATGTTGTACTACTTGCTTAATTTGTTTTGATGAAATATTTTGTACATCTGGACCGTTATTATGCAATCCATCTATTACGAATCCTGCCAAAGGCTTATCTTTTAGATAACCTATGGATTCTTCTCTAGCTTGCAAATTATAACCACCCTCTACTGATCCTAGTATTCCCTTTGATTTTAAAACATCTGAGTGCAAATGTATATCCAAACATTGTTCTAGTAAAGTTTTACTTCGAAGTACTGCTTTCGATATTCGTTTTGTACCACTATTAATATTTGTATCTCCATCGCATAGTGCAACATAAAGATCTGGTTTATAAGCTTGAACAAGCTCCATATACTTATTAGCAGAGAGGATGATTCTTCCTGTTCTAGACCAGATGGAAATCGAATCTAATTGTTGAAATCCAGAGTTGGTGGTTTTAGCAGGATCATGTATTGATAAAAAATTTATATATTCCTAAAAACAATTATTTAACAATTTAACACAGAAAATGAAATGTTAATACATATAGATAATCAGATTAATAATTTTGCTTTTACAATACCTTCATGCTAACAAAATCAGCAAAAGAAGTATCTAATTCTTTAATAACATCTGTCATTAATATAGTTGAGGAAAGTGAAACAGATAGCATTTGTTGCTCCATTGTTACAGTTTTGAATATATCCTTCGTTAAATGTGGTACACTGCCACTCTAAAAATTATATTGATATAAAACGATACGTAATACGGGAAAGAAATAATTATTTATTTTGTACCTTTGTATAAATAAGGAGTAAGGGTGTTTCAAAAGAGACATTAGGTAATCTTTCAAATCCACTTAATGTACCGATTCGTGCAGCACAACGTGCTATGGAATCGGTGAAAAATTTCATCTTTTATTATAATCTTGTTTTATTTTATTATGTTTTTCTTCCTTAAATCAACTTCCTTTCCAATAATTGAAAAGTCCAATAACTGATAAAAAAATCTTTAAAAATCGGTAACTATAGCAAAACTAAGCAAAGAAAAGTCGGAGAGCTGTTTCACTCGCGTGTCGCTCGCGTCCACATTTTAATTGCGATTTACCATCAGCGCCTCTATGGACATATTGAACTACGTAGCCATGTCCATATACTTCCGACGGATAATATGTTAAATACACGGCCTTTAGTTCTATTATGTCTATGGTTCTATTCCATGCTGTAAAATTAAAAACTAAAATAGCTTGTAAACATAATTTACTATATCTAGCAGATTTAATGTAATATATATATATATATATATATATGTGTGTGTGTGTGTGTGTGTGTGTATTATAAAATTTATTTTTGCTTATAATTATTTATAATTTAATTTGTAAAAGATCTATTACTTTTAATGAATTATTTTCAATAAATTGAAAATGTACAAAGGATTAACTTAACAAGTGATTTTTTTTTATTAAAATTCTTTAAAAAAATTGTATTTTTGTTAATGTTTAAGAGAATAAGTGATAAAGTGATAAGTGATTAACATTGAAAAAAATTGAAGAAATAATAATAGGGAGAATTATGGAAAATACGGAATTGAAATTATTGTTCTTTCTTTTAAAAATAAACTCAACAATGGAACAACAAAAGGTAGGTTCAATCTGACCTAAAGAATCGTTAAAATTTAACTAAATAGTATATTAATCAAAAAGAATAAAAATATTAAGTAATTGATAAAAATTTTTATACATACGTGCAATTGCATGTAATTATGGGGGGGAGGAATGATAAAATGCCGTCCATGTCTTTAAACATAGATTTCTAAATGTTGAATTCCTTTCCCGAATATATTTCTTTATTTAATGATCGCAGGTTAGGAACCCCGTTGTAATATTTTATTTCAGTATCATTATTTTGTTAGAGGAAAAAATTTCTTTTTCTATAAACACACTGTATGTGTATCTAAATATGAGGATTAAAGATTAATACTGTTAAGAAAAGTTTTCCACAAATTAACATAAAGGTCATTCTGTTTTAGTTTCTCATTAAACATCGAAGAAAGATATTCATTATCATGGAATATTTTTTTATTTCTGCTGTACAATTTCAAAAATTTCGATTACAATTTCAAATTATAATATATACAATAATAAAATAGTGCGTTTCTTTACAACTTGTGATTTTTTTTATATACAATTCGTGCTAAATATGTAATTTACATCGGGACGGATCCCTCGATGAGACATTAACATCATTTATGATTTAATCGCGAGGAGGAAATTGATTGATATGCTCGCATCTCTTTCAACAAATCCTAACGATTTACATTGTATGGCAAATGGCATTTTGGCGGAGGCGTAAAAAAGTTATAAGTATATATGTATATGAGACACCGGTTCGAAATTTCTATTCCTAGGCGATTGTCGGCATGTGCCTTCCATAGCGCATAAGCAATCGGAACAGCATTTACCATTCATTCGAAGATTATGAAATAGATATAGCTCCTGTTCTCACGAAATTAAAACTCGGCTAATATAGTGTCATGAAGAAGGAGGAAATTAATTTAGTCTCCGTTATGTGTCTTCTTTTCAATGATATGACATAAAATCACTTCATTTAATATTTAATATTTCATTGATGTTTATTTTGTTATTTTGTTTCAAAATTTAATATTTCGTTGACAACTGTTCGAAACTATCCGATACACGAACTAATTCGATCACGTATATAATATCTATCTATCGGCAAGTTTTATCACAATATACAAAATTTCATAACATTACATCTTCTATAACTTTCATTGTGACTTATTGAGGCAAGAAATGTTATATGATTTATCATTTACGATTTATCATTATGCATGTGAAATAATGAATGTCAATACAATATGTTTTCGCATTATTACTTTTAAATAAAATACTAAAAAAAATTATAATTGAATTTATTCTGAAGAGTTAATTTAATTACTATATCATAATAATAATAATACGAAAAATACGAATAATACGAAAAATTTTATAGCGTTTAAGTTGGAAAGAAAATATTATGAAATAGTAATGTATAAAATTATATAAAAATTGACTTATTACAAAATTGAATTATTTATATAAATTTTATATTAATTATTATGTAAATTTCATACGTATCTTCAGTGTGAGCAGTGATTATAAATAATGCTATAATAAATTCTATTTCGTGACGCATCAATTGTATGCATCAGCTGTTAATTTATGCTAGTTACAAAATGTTTTGCTTTCGCTTTAACACGTCTTTTCGGATCTTGAGATTATAAGATAAGATATAACATTTCTTAGATACTTATGACGTGTTAAAACGTTACATTGTAATACGCGGTCGGCAATTTGTACGATAATCGCAGGAACGTTTACATAGCGCACATGATAAATGTATCGGTCGATTGATATAAATCCTTTTGTAGTATATTCGTCTCAAGATAAAAATTCATATTGTTTTTGTGTTATTGTCGATGAATAAATTATGCGAAAATGAAATAATATGTCGTTTTCGCAATAGATTCTTGATTCTTCAATTAATCGTTTTTATGCACTAAATCTCAATGCAGCTGATACCTGTTGCGCTTTATTAATACGATCGATTAGGAATACCGTCATGTCCGGTGGGATACCTAATTTACGCGTTTACGCGTCTAATTTACAATAAGTGTATGTACAATATGTAAATTTAATAAAATTTACAAGAGTTAGAAATATTTAATATTAGATACATGCACTCGTTGCGCGAGAAATCGTTGCAACTCCTCGATTGCTGACTGAATAATTAAAGTGATCAACGATTTCCTTCACGCCTCACTCACACCTGAAGTCTCGCAATTATGATATAACACGCAGTGACTCGCTCGATATGTTGACATTGACTGTATTCAAAGTACAACTAGATTGTGCGTAATCAGGCTTTTCTGTGACTTAAGGCACTCGCAATACGCGTGGAATGAATTGCTAGCGGTAACTAATAATTATTAGCACGGATCAATGAATCGCGGTCAAGATCGGTAATGCAATGCTCCATTACGAGTGCAATGCTCCGTCGCAATTTTTAAAATATCTCATCAAGAAGTAATTATAAAACTAGAATGATTAAATCATAGGCTGACGTCAATATAAAGATATATCTCGCTCGCAATAGATATATGATTTCTATGATGAAAATTTCGATGATTAAAATTTTGTTTATTTTTTTATGCAAACATTTGCTCTATAATAAATTTTACGAACTTAGTTAATGTTTAATATATTAATTTGTAAACAAAAGAAAAGCTTAACAGTTTTTTTATTTTTAATGATATTCAGAAGTTTGAGAATGCATATTATATTAATTAACAACATTAAATAAGTTTTAATTTCCTTCATTGATATTAACGATTTTCATACATATTTATCGAACTCTGATATTAAAGGGAAAAGGATATGTCATTATTTTTTCGTTGACTGCTGTCAACCGAAGATCATCAAAGGAAGAAGAATGCGTTTTATGATATTCATTTGTATTTATAAAAACATATTAAATATGTTATAAATAAATTAAGAAATAAATGTTCAAAACATACATGTAATCATAAATAAATAATAAGATATAACAATTCAATATCTCCACACAGTTAATCATCACATAGATGTAGAATTAATCGCCTCCACATAGTTAATCATCACATAGATGTAGAATTAATAATTAATTATACGCGATGTAAAATATTTTCATTATTTGCATTAAAAATCATATGTTCTCATGAAAATAAGATTATGTTTTAATATTAAATTCAAAATCGTGACTATAATACTTTTATTTTTAAATTATAAAATCTCTAAAAAGGAGACAGTGAAAAATATTAAATCATTGTATATTAACAGATGTATATTAACAGATTGATCAAAATAAATGCTAAAAGAAGAGTAAAATTGATTAAATTTTCTTTTCTATTATAATTAAGATTTTAATCTGAGAAGGTAGAAACTCGCAGGAAAATGCACAGAAATGTTCCAATTTGATAAGTTTTATGTTATATTCTAAATAAAAAAATAAAGGATAAGTCATCATTTCTTTACATGAATTTGCATATTTTTCATATGCAGTTTTAGAAGATAAAACACCTTTGAAAAAATTCGGTTATTTCTTTTCGAAATAAATATTGTAATTATAAAAAAAACTTTTAATAAAACGGTTTCAAGAGTACTATAATAATGATAATTTTTTTTTAACTTTTCATTCAACTTTTATTAAAATTTTTTTTCATCTTTCATAATTTCGACGATAAAAACCAATTTTTTTCAAAGAAATGTTTTAATTTCTAGAAATGTATATGAGCACATATAAAAAAATAATTTGTATTTTTTGTTTAAAATACAATACATTAAAAATTCATCAAAATCGGAGAAGGATACTTCCTTCGGAGAAGGAACTACATTTTCTTCAGTTAAATTGCACTTAGACTTTCTTAACATGGAGAAAAACTTTTATATCATTGATTCATCTAACAGTTTATATGATGATTCTATGAGACAAGGTGGAATGTATTCTAGCTCGCAGAATTCTCGAGATCCTTCCAATTATTCTGTAATCGGAATTAACGTCGTCAATGGAACGTGCGTAGGATAAATGCAATAATTGATGATATGCAAAGAGCGATAGAGCCATTCCCCGTGTAATGCGTGAATTCTTGCTTGCATGGGCATGTGTGTGCAGACTCGAGGGTTCGAGAGACAAGAAGGGCCTATTGAAGAGAGGGAAAGGCGCGGGAATCGCCAACACATATCTCGATATCTCACAGTTCGATCTCTCAAGCCGGTCGCTCGTATATTTACATGTATAATTTATATATCCCGTGGTTCGACCGAACACGCGGTGCGTCCGGCCAAGGCGGGCCCAGGCCCGTCCTTATGATCGTTCTGGGACGTCCGTCGAATCCCGCGTGAGCCGTCGTAGCACAAGAAGATATTACAAAAGGAAGCGCGATTCGAGAGAAATACATGGGAATCCAATCGCGCAAATTCCCACGATCGTTAGGCAACGTCGATCGATAATCGGAAATTTTGCATGTACGCTTTTCGGACGTTTTCTATGCGTTCCCCTCGAGAATTACACGTGACAAGCGAAATTAAACCGGTCATACAGGACAAATTATTATTTTTGTGCTTTCACTTCTTAGATGCAGTGAATAATTTTCACTTACAAGCATTTTTTAACGGAGATTTGATCATTAGATTAAACATGTGTCTATTAAACATGTGAAATGCAAGAATTATGTAATACAATCATTTGTTCAACATTTTTCTTCTAATCATTATTTTCATATATTAAGTCACTTCGCTATTATCGATTATATTAATAATGACAAAGAAGTTCTTTCGTTGTCTCCTACAAAAAAAAAATAGTAGTCGCTTCTATCGTTTTAAACTTGTAAAATTTAAACTGCATTACACAATTAAGCTAAATTTTAATACGATTTTGATATTTATAAAGCAGCGAGATCGAAATAGTAATGTAAGATAATTTAAATATTATATGATGTTTTGACGTGATTCCGACGTGTAGATCATAAGTGTAATAGAGATTTGATGTGCTCGCATCATGCGAGATGGATTAATGCGCGCGATGGTCCGCATCTGTTTCACTGCAACGAAAGGCAACGTCGTTACGAGATTTTCCGCGATAAGCGATGCGATCGAGCTACCTTTAAATGCGGATTACGAGAAATCCGAGCAAGTAACGATCTTTTAGATTGCGATTTCAAATTATCCGCGGACACGCGATATTTCGCTATGATTTTTGGCGCACGATGCGAATGTGGAAGGCGCGCGAAGGGAAACAAAACGAGCTTTAATTAAACGAATTCCATAATATACGTAACACGATTGTGATAAGGGTTGCCCGTTCGCGCGCAATCGTGGGATCTTCTTTTTTTTTGGCAGTACAATGCAGGCTCTTCCTGCCGCCATTGTGACTGCGAGGGCGCAATTAATTATAGCATATTCGCACAGAGAGTGCATTGTTGCGTCTGTGTTATTCGAGCGTATGCATCATGCCTCCGCCTATGCATACGCCTCCTGGCTATGCGCTTCGATCATTTCGAAAGTTGTCTTTAAAATCGTTTTCGTCCACGAGAAAATGATATCCGACGCGTTAATTCATTAGCGATAACGCGAGTTACTAGCGCGTTTAATGGATATTTGTGGTATATCGGAGGAAAACTTTCTCTCCGAAGCAGAGAAATTGAAAAAAAGTATATCACTCACGTTAGAAATTATAAAAAACGACGAAACAATCATCTTTTCTTAACGATAAATTCCACATAGTGCCAACTGGATGCTTCTTAATAGCTGGAAATTTTTTTTTGTCTATAATGCATCTCGCAAAACAATTTTCAAGAACGTTGCTTCGCTCATATTTTCCTCAGTTTAGTGCGGCAAGTAGAACCTCGAAGATTCCACAGTGGCTCTAAAGCTATTTTCATACGTATATAGCGAGATGCGTTGAATGTGGGCACTCTCGTGTGTTCCGAAGAGCGTGTCGGTCGGATGTAGGTATGCGTGCGTTAGCACAGGTGAGTTAAAGGTGAACGACGTGAAACGCGCACAAGAGAATCCCGAGGCGGAGCGAGAGAAACGCGTCTTCTCGGACTCTACGACCGAGGGGAACAATCGGCTTTGCCTGAGAAAGTAATTAAGAGAACACGACGGCGATGATTAAACGATTCCCCGCCGAACCGAACGAGACGAATTAATTCCGCCGTCGATCGGGAATCGAGGATAAACGATTGAAAGTGATACGCCGCCAAGACCGAAACTTATTTAGCGCTCGAACGATAATACCTCGCGTGACATGCGACTCGATACGATTCCTCGAACAAAGTACTCTATACCGCATCCAATGCTGAAATATTCTCAGAAATATTTCTCACAATTTGTTGCCGTATTACACGACGAGGGGACACAAAGACAATTTTGCTGTGAGCATTAAACTTCGTTTGCCATAATACGTCTCTTCCGTTTTTTGTTGAAAGAGAGACGCTAATTTTGCTATCCTGAACGCTTTATATTACAAAATTCGACGAATCCGACAGCGAAGTCGACGAAGTTGTTACGCAGATTTAACATGCAATCTGCGATTCAGCCATTAATAATATCAACCGCTGATTTCGTCGCTGCATTGTGCGCCGAGCAGTTTATCCCGTGTAGAATAAATGAGAGAAAATAATATAATAAAATGCCCGACAAGATGTTTCATGCGAATATATCGTATCCATACTTTGTTGAGTATCGTGAACCGCTGACTTCGCGCAGCACGGAATTCTGCAATTTTCCATCGAGGCACGCACGTGAAAACGAGACCTCATTTGCGCGCGGTAGGCATGCGGAGGGATGCTGGCCGAGAAAATGCCGCGTGGCGGTAGACGCTTAGAGAACGCGGACGGATGTAGCCGAGGGCGCTGACTTGGCAGCCCCGAACGTCAAATTACGGGGCACCTGCTCTTCAAAACGACTTCATTTCATTCGTATCGTGTAGGTATTTCGAATCCGCGGCCATGCGGCTTCTCGTCTCGGTAACATCTGCAATCATGCTCGAGAATATCCGATTAGATTTCGAATTAACCCTATAATGCGTCAGAAACTCGTGGGACGCGTTCAAGTCTACTTGATGTAGTGGGCTAAGATTAAGATAAGATATATGTACAAGGACACCTCTCTGTTCTGCCGCATTATACTTACTAATCAAAAACTCTTTGGCTAATTTGAAATCGGTCTCTTCTTAGCGAGAGCAAATTGTTCGTCGCAATTTTCCAATTTTCATCCTCACTTTCAATTCATTATAACTCGTGTCATTTTTATTTTTTTATATGTAGGCTGTTAAGTTTAATGCAAAGTTTCTTTTGCAATTCCATATGCAATTTTGTCCCATTAGTGTGTAGCTACAGTCGTTTGAACGAAACATTATTTTATGCATTGCCGTCGACCGCGCACGTAATATAGGTCTGAAATTTCGCTTCCCCCCTTTGAATGATATGAAATAATGGGGAGGGTTCATTTTTTCGCCTAGTATACCGGTTGACTTTCGCGGGAACGTTGGGGAGGCATCAATTTATATTCTCGCCGTGTTATTACTGATTGGAAACCGCAACGCGTGATTCTTCGTGCGCGGTATCATTACGTTTTTGCTTTACGTTTACCGAGTGGAGATCGAGCGTCACGCCTGAGCCGGTATCACAGTTACTCGAATCCGCGTGCCACGATGCATCTTGGATGCAAACGAACGATAAATTCATCAATATTCTAACGAGCGAAGCCATGTGTTCGCGACTATGACGGCTAGCGGGACATTTTTGTCGAGATCGCAGGTTTCGTCGATTTGGCGAGAATAACGCTTAATCGACGTGTATTAATTCCGCCGGCACGATTTTCTCTGGTCACTTACCTGCCGACCGGTTTATCTTCCGCTTGTCTTTCATTGAAAAAAAAAGTATCGAGACATTGAATAGCTAGTATTTTATTAGTGCGTAAAAGTAATGAAGAACGCGCCGCGATGCCGATCGATTCGCGTCGCTTGATCCGTCGATTCGCGTGTCTCGAAAGTCGATTGTCTTAACAGGACCACAAAGTGTGGCGACAAAGGCGCAAGTAGAGCGTTGCCGAGCAAGAAATCGATTTTATCCGGAACCGGTCTCCGATACATCCGCCGGTTAAACAATGCTCTTACCAAACGTGATCTTTTCAATTCCTCTTGTACTTGGGCAAAACTTAAAACTGAGCACCGTGAAACAGCGTCTTGAAGAAACTTTCGAGTCACGACGACAGTGACGAAAAATTTCACAGTCTTTCGTCTCCTCCGATCTCGACTCCGACTTTATTTCTACTTTTTATTACAAGGACAAATTTCCTAACGTCCTCGCGTGAAACAAATTAAATTATAAATACTACACAAAACACTCTCTTCGTTCACGTAGCAAGCAAAGCGATTGCGGATCGATACACAATTGTATTCTATTTCAAACTTCTCTCGTCACTGATTTCTCATAGGGAATTATTTCTTAAATATAATCCGAAGGCACTGTGTTCTCGTTAATCGCCGCCAGCCTGTACTGCGGCGTCTCCAGATTCTGCGGATTCAGATGCAGGCTCGTCGTCGTCGTTGTCGTTGTCACTGTCGCGGACGGTATCGTCGAGGCCGACATCTGTTGATTTGTCGAGTTCGAGCTGAGATCACTGTAGTACGCGCTGCTGGGAGCACTGCTCAGCGTCGGCCCATCCGGCTCGGCGTCGCTTCCGGTGTATGCCGTGTTCTGATACGAGGGATGCTCGCTGTTCCTGCTACCGATCCTCAGTTCCTGATGATGATGATGATGATTGTGGTGATGATGATGACGATGATGATGCTGATGCTGACCCGGCGGTACCGGAGTCGACGGCCCGTTCTCGTACATCTCATAGTCTGGCTCTTGTATCCTGGAAGCAGTTGATAACGAGGTTCTCGATCTAATCATTAGACGAGCATTCGAGCGGAATGTGCTATTAACATACGCAAGGCGTATCGACCGTATCGATAACTGCCGATTACGCGGCGACGCGTGTCGGATGAGCGCATTGTTATAACGAGCAATTAGGCGCACTTAGAAGGCCTTGCCAGAACAAAGCCAGCTCGTTCCCGATGAAGTCGAGGAAGTCGAGAAACGATAGACCGTTGCGTGTGATTATCGGCTGTCATAATCTGGATTTCGCGATCGTTCGCGAAGGTGAATAATCGATTTCGGCAGAATCAATATAAGCAATGAAACATTCTAATATTTCTTTTACCAATTTTACGATTATAAATTTTACAGCCATCACATTCCATCACAGTCTTCAATATTCTAAGTACATTATTTTTAACATGACAATTTAATTTAAGATAAATATACTCTTTTCTTCTGTTTAATAGATATTTCGTAAAATTGAAAACGTTTAACTCACCTTTTACTATGTCGAGTGCGAAGTGTATCCGTTTGTAGCGATCCGTCGCTACCACCGTAATGACGATGTAATCTGGCCGCGTCCAGTTCATGATATTCGTCGTCTTGACCACCGGAAGTCGTACCGTATGTCGAGCTTCCTCTCATTTGTAACTGTAGATCGCTCGCGTAGCTCGCGGCCTGCGAGTCCAGTTCCGCGTACAGAGCCTCGTCGGTTTGCATGTGGGTGTAGTGATTCTCGACCGGGAGATTCATCGCCCGTCGGTGTTGAGGAAGGGATAGCGGCGTCGTGACGACTCCCGGGGTGCCACCGCCTCGCCGAGAGCCCAACCACGACCATACGTTGTGCCCTAAAGTTCGATTTCATCCACAACTTGAGACCCATGTTGATTAGTATATTTTCTTAACGTATCTTGGCAGAATATTAACGGTAAAAAAGCAAAGGTTGCGATTTCAAATATCAAATGACGTTATCTTACAAAAAATAGGAAAATGAAATAATTTTGGTGAATTATTGGCAAATTATTTTGTATTGTCACTCGAATGATATTTTCTAATCGTTAAATCTTAATTTATATATCTTCTTTTTGAAAATTCCTAGTTAAGTATTAAACACGCTTAACTAAAATAGGCTTATTTTTATTTCTTTTATTTCTTTTTAACGAGTTGCTCGATGTTCTTCATATGTACGATATCTCGTTTAGCAATATCTTATCGTAAGATACAGGCTTATTTCATAACATCGTGAAAGATCTTATAAAGCTGTCGATTAGTTGAAAACGCCGTTGAGAACAAGTCGCGAGATCCGGTTCTATAATTCCCGACTTTCCTTCCCGGCGAACGAAATGAGACGTACAACCAGTACGAGACGGTGCTACCGCGTTCGCGATCACAATACTCGCAACGTGACGGGAACACGCGAGTAACGAGCGGCCATTTCTCAACGATCTCTCTCAATGGCGCGTACACATGTGTATGAGAAGCGTCGGACAGCAGGCGTCTCGTAATAACACTCACCGGGGCTAGGCGCTACGTCGTGATAAGGTGGTAATTTGTCTAATTCGAGAGGCGGCCGATCGGGTATGACGGCCACCCCACCGCCGGTACCACCCGCCCCCGCGGGCCCGCCGCCATCGGGCACGCTCGAGTCCTCTACACCGACGCCGCAGCAGCTCGCTGAAACAGAAAAGCGCACTGTGGTTCGCTGCTCTGGAAAAATTTGTCGACGCGAAAGTCGCTTAGCTCGAATTTCGCCTTAGCTCGCGTTTCTCAGGGTAGGTTTTCTCACCACGGACTTTCGGACGGGATTCGCTTGAATTCACGAGACGCGTTTTCTTGCGTCGAAGCACGTGAGATGCCAGGTGAGATTTGGTTCCGAATTTCGATACGTTTATGGTCCCGCGTGTATATATACACACCCTGTGCGCAAATATAAATACCGTCCCTGTATATATATATATATAGAATGGCGACCCGAATCACCGCATTATGACATGCGTCCGCGTATGGAGAAAAAAAACGGCTCTTTTTTGTATGGCCTTATTGTAAGCCTGTCATCGCACCATCATGAGCCTTCATAGAATCGCGCTGAGGGTTGAAGCGTACCAGCGGGTGAGGCGAGTGTTTGAATCGGGATAGGGGAGGGAAGAGAAAAGTGAGGGCGAGAGGCAGGGAGTAAAAGGGAAACGATCTCGAAATTTGTGGATCAGAAGTGCCGCCGCAATGATAACTAGATTCATGAGAATGCTAAGAAGATAAAAAAATAAAAACGAAATTATAGGAATTTTATGAAAGTCTTTTTTCATTTTCTCTGTCACTCTTATTACGAAAACGATCTTATATTCTATATACGCATTTTTACGTTCTGAAATGATGAAGTTCGAAAGGTTCAGTTCTGAAAAGTGTCACTCACCGAAAAATAGAGAGAACTGGTTCTCGTTTATTCTCGCACTAGTGATATTCTTTCAAGCGTTTAATGTAATCCGTAGTGGAAGAGAGAGATTATACCTATATTTCTTTACAGAAAAGATGCTCTGTTTGCGAGACTGTGATAACGAATGATTATAACGAACGACTGATAACGAATACTTTAATGAAATGGATGCGTTAGAAATCGTTGGCTATTCGATTCGAGCGTGCTTTCGCTGCTTTACGTTTTTATAGAAACCTGATGTAATAATTGATAACTTTAATTTCGACTCGCTCATTCTTTCGGTCTATTTGCCCTATAACTTACAGATTATTACTTTCGCTTATAAGATTTTTAGAAATTGGACATTTTCAAGCCTGTTTTCATCAATTAATCAAACTTCTCTCCCTATTTATTAACTAGCTGAAGGCATTCGGTAATCCTTGAGAAACGAAAATATTTAATTTCTCATGTATAAAAATAAAAGATGATAAATTTACTGCTTAGTTTCCACTTAACTAGCGATTTTATAGCCATATAATTGGTTAACGATATTCAGTCGATTGTGAAATATATAATCATAGCTTCAGTTATTCTATTTTCTTAGTATCTAGCTTCGTTAAAAAGTCATTAGCTCGATCTGGTATACGCATATTTTATACCCTTTGATTATTCGTCTTGATCTGACGCGATTAAAATCATAAAGGCGAAAATCCGTTATATCTCTACAATTATGCGTGACTACTCTGCTTAATGCCGTCAGATTGCCCGGTGTCATCGATTACGCCGAAATGAAAAGTGTAATCACATTTATTTATTAACAGTATACCGATATCAAGCGCGATTACAACTTGTCCGATTGCGACTTAACATTCCGCTGCTAATCTGCTTATTGCGGAAGCGGATCAGGCACACGACGATTTATCCTCCCGTCATTTCGCAACGGTATTGAATCAGTTTCTCGTTTATTTAACTAGTGCGAGAAAATTCCAACGCGATTGTACCATGACATATTTTTTTATTGCTCCAAGCAAGTTTCTCTAATCATTTTCTTTCCTCCGTTCTCTTAACTTTGTTTAGAGATATTTAATATATTTTACACATAAAATAATATGTCCCGTGCTATTTTTTTGCACGCAAGATTCCAATAGATATCTTATTTTTACAAAATATGTGAGAACTTTCTTATATAATAAAATTATCCTTTTTTTAAATATACTCGCGCGGATAAGGTATACGGCGGCTTCGAATCGTTCATCTCCTTTGCGTGATTACGACACAGTTCCCACCTTTCGAACGAGTTTAGATAATCAAATCCATTCGTTCTTCCAGTCCGTCGCGCCATGCCACCTGTGGCATATCAATTATCAGGACAGATAGGTAGCATATTAATTAAGCAACATGTGAAAAGTGTGACGTTAAAGAACATGTGACGACACAAAGGGAGAAGTTAGGTAAATGTTATACTCTTTCGTCACGATCAGATTAAGCTTAAAGACGTGCACTTCCTGTCTTATATTACTGTTGTGTCATATATGAGATGTTGTACGATAAGAGTTTAATATAATTTATTATTGTTAAATAAATTTAATTAATTAAAATTTATCCGGAGCTCAATCATAGTTTACAATTCTTCATCATTAAAATGAACTAAACATTATAAATTAAATATATAACTTCACAAATATTTTATTTAAAATTTCTCTCAATAAACATATATTAAAACATATATTTTGCAGTTTTCTATTATTTTTTTGTTATTGAATATTGGAAATTTTTCAATACAATTAGATTCTGATAAAACAAAATCTATTTGAAATTATGAGAATAAGGAATAGAAATAAAAATTATAAAATATATTAGATATATAATTCAACAAATTTGTTGTAATCAAACTGTTATAAAATTTCGATTTATACGAAAAAAGATTTTCCATCTAATCGTATCAAGTGTACATCAATCGTATCAATATGTGTAAGATTATACGTGTTGAGCATATTGTAAGTATCGTGGTTTCTTGACGTATTATATATCGACTGATCCAAAATATCGTTCCAGTCGACGTGCAATAAGCCGATTAACGGATTCGATTCACCTTTTCTACTCGACTCCTCGATCGTCATTGTATCCGAAGGATCGTACGGCAATCTAACGTGTATAGTATGGAGACCCCTGTTCTTTTTTGCGCGAGAGCAGCCTCTTTCAACCGTCCATTAACGTGCTGCTTGCCCGGTGGCACTTAAAGCAATTCTTATGCATGGAAAGATGTACTATTAACGAACTTTCACTAATTTATTTTTTGCCCGGTGGAATATTCAATTATCCGTAATCTTATAAAATGTCAGCGTGATAAAGTTATATTTTACGAGTTCTCACAAAACACAGATTCGCTATTGATTTAGTTTACAGATTTTTTTATAACGCAAAAATTTCAGTATTTCAATCAAAAGAGAGAGAGTAAATTTTGCTTCTTTTAAAGTAAAAAAATTTTAAAGAAACAAATGATGATTAATAGTAATTAGTAATAGTAATAGTAATAGTAATTAATTTTATTTTTTTAAAGACATACCAATTTTATTTTTCAAGTTTAAATTTGACATTATTTTTAATTATTTTTTGATATTTAACAATTAATTTTATTCAAATATTTTTTTAGAAAATAACTTGAATAACACAGTTCAACAAAATTTTCTTTATATAGTACATTTCTTGAAGATTTTTTCACGCTGAACACGAGGCAGAATTTACTTAGCACGATAGGATAATTGGGACGAAAGCGGCCAGAAATATGTTTACCTGCTTTTGAAATATTTTATTCTTTCCATAAGAGAGTAATAAGTTTATATCAAAATCGCAATAATATTTCTTTAACACCAGGATTTCATTTTATCGAAATTTTCCCTTCTATATATTATTACGCGATTAACAGGCACCGTTGTTTTAAGAGGTAGCAATAAATCATCATGTCTTAACGTGTAATTGTGTTTTGGTTGTTCGTGCTTCTCTTAGCAGTTATCCGTTCTAAGATCGGACTAAGAGAGCTCGTCCCTGAGGCGAGAATGGCGAAATTACGCGTTCTTGCGGGTCGCAAATATAAATTGTTCTGTATAGACCACCTTGGGCGATTATTTTGTCACAAATAATAACATTATTATTACAAAAAGATCATATTTTGATTTATTTATGATTAATTTGTAAAATTGCCAAAATGTTTTTTCATTTTTTTAATACGAAAGAATATGATATCATTGATAATAAATAAACAATAATCCTTGATAAAATTTAAACGTTTTTTTTAGATGTTCTAAAATATTAATCTAAAATATACATTCTTTGAATATATTTTACATCAATTTCAAAATAAGTACGTTTTTCGTGGATTGTAATCGAGCCAGTTTCGGAATTAGGCTTCTATCGGGTTTAAACATAAAGCACGCTGCAAAGAACCGATGACGATTCAAGAGGTTCAGTGAAACGAGTGTTGGATAATTAATTCGAGTGACCCCTTCATTCCAGGTGGTAGCACCCTGGTCACCCCCTTTTTCTCTCCTGTCTTTCCGCTCGCTCATCGTCTTTTTACGTCCACCAATTCGCCGCCGTCGGTCGTATGCTCGCGATCGTATCGCGCCGCGGTTGATTTTAAATCAGAAAATTAATTAGACGCATTTCGCTGTCCTTTATGTCGCCCGGTCGCGGCTATCCGTCGCGTCGCGTCGCATCGCGTTACATCGCCCAGTTATATTTTTTATGCAGCACGACACTGGAGAACGTGCTGCACACGGACGCGCGATTTACATCGCCATGAGCGGCTTGCATTATGCGAACTAATTAAACTCCAATCGATGCTGGCACCCGACGTCACGACGGCGTGGCTCTCTTTCTCCATCGCGCCGATGCCCACGCGCGTTCCTATGTATTGGATTTGTATGGTGGTCCGCTCTTTTCGAATCCCTTCACTGTTTGCGACGGAGATGGCGATGTAGTGATTATGCCTCTCTCCGGACATGTCTTCGAGAAGGTATCCCTTTTAGCTCTGATAAGAGACATGGCGCCTTAGGAGCGTGTCTCACGTTCTTCAAGCGTCACGTTTGTCGATTCGATTGATTGTTGCTCTATTTTCTTTTTTTTTTTTTCGAAACTGTATCGTGCAGAGTCGTGTACTAGTCGATATGTATTTTAGAGATTGCGTTATGATAAATACAAATAAATAATTTAGTCTGTTTTTTTACAGCATCAATAATATCCGCATACATTCAATACTGTAATGCGATGTTAATACGATGTGGCGAATAGTATGTTGTATCGCAGACTTTTGAACACTGATATAATTTTTCATATCGCATATCTCTTCGGATCGTATTATTTTCTTAAGAACGGTCCTCATCCACATGTCTCGTCGTATTTTTCTACGACTTGAGGTTTATGACATGACAAAGCGAGAAGCGTTCTTGAAGGTACCTTTTGTGGGGTCTCTCATAAAGCATATCCGAGACGGTATTATTGTGAATGTGAATGTCGTATATTAACGTATGATGAAGAAACGAGCGAATAGAAGGGCCCCGCGAGCTGGTAACTCAGTAGGGGGGACTCGGATAATTGGGAATCATTTCGAATCTGACCTGTCAGCGCCGCTGCGAATCCGCCGCGCCAAACATGGTATGTTAATTCGACATAATTGGGGGGCTAGCCCGCGTCTCGGCAATAAATTCAAACCTTCCTTTATTCTGACCAACCTAATCGTAACCCTACGCTAGTTTCTTTACGAATGATTTTTATAGACCGATTCACGTTTGCATGACAATCCATGCATATACAAGTTTACGATCCATTACGTTCGTTGAAAAAAATAAGTAAAAATGTATCAAATAAAACATTTCGTGGCAAAATTTTGCGAGAAATATGTATATTTTGATGAAGCTTTGCTTACCTCTGCCACCGGCACTCTTTATCCTGTAACAGACGAAACAGAAATGTCGGTGAATTTTGAGAAATATCTGTTGTCGTTTATTATATAAAAATAACAATTGTGATAATAATATATTTGCTTCCTTTTTTAAAAATTAATTTATTTTTAAATAATAAAAAGTGTGCAATTATTTTTAGGCATTTCACACAAATCTGTAATGATGATTTATATCGGATAATCAAGTTATTAAAAATGAATGGGCTAAACTGTTCTATATGATTATTTTTTTCACGAAAATTATAAGTGATAAAACATGCAAGTTGGCAATCAAGTTTAATAAATCATCTTTTATGGGGAGAACGGTAGAGAAAGATGAGAAGATTGCGATCACGAAAATCCTCGTTTCCTGGCTACTCAAGAATTCTAATCGAGATCTGACCACAGTCATGATTCTTTCGTAATGGTGCTCGTTCCCTTCCTCTCTTCCTGCCTTTCGACGCCCCGTTAGTCTGTCACTTGCCGGATTCGTACGGAATCGATCTAGTTAGAGACCGCTTCATCCTCGTTCTTAGCGTCGATCGGCTTGTTCGATTACGTATCGCCAGTAGGTGGTAATTTAAGAGAACCGAGCGTTGTGGTTGTAAGATGAAACTGTGATCGGTTCGCGGATCTGTCGGCGCAATGATCCGTATCATAACGTTTCACTGTTCTTCGCCAAGTGTTCGAGAGGAGCATCTCCGTCAAGATTGCACTGAGTAGCGCGCAATAAGATTTCAATTTGAACAACCATTAACTCTGATTGATTTTATCTGGCAAAAAGAAAATTTGACGAGAAAGAGACAGCTAATTTCGTGTCGCCGATGAATTTTCGAATTATTTCTCTTTTTCCACTTATGTTAACAAAAAAAAACATGCGTATAAAAAAAAAGCAATGATACTAACCTTCGACAATGAAGAAGAGTCATCATTACTACCGCTCCGATACCAGCTGATACTAAGGACACTATTACAAGAGTCAGCACCCATCCAAGTTCTCCAGGAGCTTCTGTAAAAAAAGTGAGAAGTTGCAGCTACAAATAAATCAAAGTTTTTTTTTTAAATTAGATAGACAAAAATCTAGCAACAAGAAATATGAAAAAAAATTAAGAACGAAAAAGATCAGTCAGAACTTCTGAGGTTTCTATACTTTGACGATAATAAGCGCGAAATGTAAATGTATAAATCTGTTCTCGGCAAAAAATTTGGCGTTCAAAGAAAGCGTCGGCTTTTCGCCTTGTTTCAGTTTTAGTCCCGTCGCATTATCGTAATTCCTTCAGGTAAGCCCGGGCCTTCGCCGAGTATATATACGGACAACACGGAGCGTCATATATAAATGGACTCTCGAGATCTTCGCGCGGTACGTGCGGGCGCCCCGTAATTGGCTCACAGCCTCATCCGGCGCGTCCCGTTTCCGCGCAGCGGGGGACACCCGCAGTTTTATTAGGCGTCCTTCGCTATTATTCCTGCCGCACACCTACCGAAAGCACTCTGCGTCCCTTACCTATCCTACTTATCCCGCTGAAATCGTTTCATCTTGAACGCGCACCGGCAGCGATCTCGCGCACCGCGGCATTTTAACGAGGCCTGAGATTATCGTCCGTGCGAACGTAATTAAGAGAATCGCACCGCGGGTTTATTGCGGAGGAAACGGCGGCCGCGAGCGAGCGTATGATGGAGACGATGGAGGTAGATTCCTCTCGGTGCGGATCGGCCGATTAGTCGGGGAATCGTTCTCTCTTCGGGCGCGACCGACGGCGCGGCACGGCCGAACGATTCGCGGTCGACCACCGCATGATTTCCCGCAGCTCCTCTACCTGAAGAGTACTTACACACTTGCCGAACGATTCCCGACCAGTTTCTCGGTTGTTTGCATAGCCGTATTCCTCGCTGAAACGCGAGCTTCGAGTAAGATAACTGCGCGCCATCGAGCGATTCCTTTCCTTCAGCTCCTCCGCGCTCATTAGTCGAGTCTTATGGTTTGTCGCGTTATCGTGAAATATCTTAAACCTGTATAAAATGTTTTCGATCGGTCTTCATTCAAGGTCTTAATCGCAACGATTCTCTCGGACCGACGCGAGTTTAAACATCGAAATGGAGATTAGCGGCGAGCGCTCGCGGAATTACGAACGAAGGAACGGGATAATTAGATCCCGCTGATCACAGAATTATCCGCGAAAGGGACGGCGTAATGCGCGCTTCGACCGTCCCAGCCGTCGACTTCGTTCGCATCTTCGCTCGTTTTGCAGCGACATTAATCGCGCGCAGTTTTCGAATTCCGCCGAGTAGCGCTTCTATCTTAAGACCGTCCTAAGTATGCTCGTTCGGAGAGGTAGATTCATTACGCTCTTGTCACGTGGCCTTCCGTCCCGCTGGTCTACCTACGCAAACGTGGGTTTATATGTACTTCAAGTTGTCGACACTGCAATCGCTCAGAGCCTGGCGAGTTTGGAAAAGGGGCTTCCAACGGAGAGGAAGTTGTCCAAGGGAGAAGGAGCCGCTCGTGATCGAGAGCTGGCACTCGACTCTGCATACGAATGCGCCATTAATGTTGCTTCTTCACGATTGTAGCTCAGGTAGCGATAGAGAGATGCAGGCGACTGGCCGGCGACTTTTTGAAGCTAATAATTTTTGGATAGCCTCCGTAATTAAGCATGACTAAGCAAGAAGTACTTTCAGGAAAAAGATTCTTCGTTATGCGCAATTTATAATCCAAAAGGAGAAACGAACATTTTCTCAGCATAAAAAATTGCTTTACCAAGTTGTAACGAAGTAAGAGAGACGTTTAAGTTTTAATTTAAAAACTTAAATATTTTTTTATGCGTAACTTTGAAAAATGGATATGCATTTAGATTGATCTGTCCTAGCTTAGCCCCTTAATAAGGATTCTTCTATTTTTATGTAATTTATAAAATTTATAGATATTTTTGAATAAAATTATTTTGCCTTTATAATAAACGAATATCGGATATTGAAGATTGATCGAGACAGAATACAAAAAGAAAGATGCGTTTAACACGTTGTCACGTATCTTTGAATTAAAGGCAACAAGTCGTGTTGCGATCGGAAAGCCGAAGAAAAAGAGAGAAAGAGCGAAGAATAGGCAAAGCCCGTCTATCAGCGTCACGTTCTTGACGTGAACATAACAGTGCACGCTGCGGCTGATAACGCTTACAAGAAAGTTATCAATCATCTTACGCCGAGATTGACCACCTAGACTAATGCGTGTTAATGTCGGCCAGCGCATGCAAGTTCCCTATTACAGTTATCTTAGTAAATTGTTTTGAGCTATGAACAAGCTGAGCTAGTTAGGTAGTCTCTTCAACCTGTATATCAAAATTAATAACCTCTTATGAACTTTCTCTATCTCATCTAAGCTAAGATTTTAATGACGTAAAAAACTATGGAAACGTTTAATTGTATATGTCACGTTTTCACCTTGTGATCTAGGCGGATTACTCGCAATCATGTTGCAAAATATTCTGCCTAATGCAAATATTCTGCGTTAGAACGTTTCGTATATTCCTTTCTTAAAAGTCCTTTCTTAAAAGTGACTATTTTTAAAAATCATTAAAGAACGTTGATGATTAATTAAACCTGAAATCTCGAATGATTGTCTATGTCTCATGATCATAATTTTATTTAAATCAAACTACACTGTTACTCACATTAAGACGATTATCGCTTTATTAAGATAAAAAAATCGTGATTTCGCATGTCCGATCAAATTGCTATATTGATATAATGGCATTTTTTTCAGTATTACAATCATTTCGAACACGAATCATTTCCTTTCCTTTGAAGAAAGCCCGATCATCCGCCACTGTTTTCGCGATCGAGCCTATCATCATTTTAGTTGACCGCAACATCTGCTTCACCTCTCGCCGCATACTATCCACGATCGCGGTTTAATGTATAATGACGGCTTAGTGCACGCTGGCTTCATCGCTTTACCGCGTTTCAAAGGTGATCGGCTGTTAGACGTAAACGAAAATAAGAACGAAGTAACTCGCTTGGAGTCGTAACTTCTCGCATAGACGATACTATACGATCATTTAATCTCGTTTGATTCTATGTGCTCTTGCGAACCGTTGCGAATGGAGGGTTAAAGAAGTTCGCATGCTTCATGCGGCTTAAATTACATGAAATTCAAAAATAAAATAATAAATGTAACAAATATATAAATTAATAATAAAATAGTAATATTAGGATTATTGAGAACAAAGTTATTATTTTTGCAATTTGAAAATTTCCAATTTCCAATGACATATAAATATAATTCAATAATATTAAAAAAAATCATCATACTAAATATTCCTTTCTTTCTTTCTCATTAAATACTGTGATTTTATTACATAGTAACACAGTTGAAAAGTATACATTATTTATTGTTGACAAATTTAAAAAATTTCGCATTGTGTAATAGACAGTAAATTCGAAGCGACAATGAACATATCGCTTTTTTGTTAATCATAAAGTATTACTACGTTTGTGGAAAAAAAGAACTATAAATGTTAGTAAATTTAGTTTTACGTTATTATTATTTATGCAAACGGATTCATAATTTTATGCCAACGTTTCGTATAAAGTTGTATTTTCGAGAACTTCGCCATACGTATAATACTGTTATTTTTGCATAAAAATAAATAAATGATAAATATTTGCAACAATGCGAGCATATTTTTACATGGAGCCGTGCTTCGTTTGCTACACAAAGGCGTATATTTATTCAAACGAGTTAATAACGAAACAGTCAAATGGATTCGTGTCACGATACTTTTCGAACAACAATGTACACCAACTGCTTGTATATGGAATCGAACAAACTTCGAAGATCAGTAAATTCAACGCTGCTCTGCCATTATGGGCCCCTCGACCAGTCTCCGCATACCGTTAAAGCTTCTCGTCGAGATTTCATCGATAACCG